AATAGTTTAATCTCAGAAAATTAGTGGAGGGCACAGTCATGCAAATTAAATGAATAGACAGAAAACTGACTTCAGTGCTAGGTTTGAGTGCATGTGGTAAGGAGGAATATGCCACTTTTCCCCTTTTAGCTCCCAACACACAGGCAGGTATAACAAAATGTTACTATTTTCATCCGTGAAAATTTGGGAGGTATGACAATCATAATTTCTCAACACAACTTAAACTGGAATTAAAATAAATGAAAAGAAAATTGAGGGATCTTAAGACACCCACCCTATATGCAAAACTACAAGTTTTTGTTTGTACACAATGTGAAAAAAAGAATGCAACCCTCTACTTTTTTAAATATAAATCCCATGCAGAAAAGCTGAATATTGGCCCTGGGAAAACTACACCAGATTCCATCTCTACTGAGTGCTCTCACAGTATATTCCAGTATTCATAAAAGTACAAAGTGAAGGCCCTCTCCACAGTCTTCTGGTTACGTTTTGGGACTATAACTCCTGTAAAATTCTATGGTCAACATGGCTGGTGGTCATCCTGGACAGGAGATTCTGGGAGCTATCGTCCTAGATGCAAATTTTCCAAGCTCTGTCACCTCTACACATAACATGCCTTCCATAAGAACATTTATCTGGCTAGAGTTGTCAACAGTCTTACAGAACATGGTTTTGTCTAGCCCGCTTCTCTGTTTCAGTAGTGCATGCCTATGAAAGCAATGAAGAGCATGCAGCTAACCATGCTTCCTATTTCTCCATCAAGTCCCGATGAGTTCTTTAAAACTTGCTTTTCTTCTTCTTATCAGATTGCCACCTTGTGACAACAATCTCTGTATATTGATTAGGAAGACAACGCTGTTCCCTTGGAAACAAAATGAGGTTTGTTCAACAATCCCTTTTCCAAAGCTGACTTTGGCCTGCCCCCAACTGGTTCTTCACACACATGCTCAACCCTTATTAGAAAACAGACAGAGAAGGAACATGAGCTAGAGCTGGGAATAGCAGTAATGCTTGCCTTACAGGACAACATGCCTATGACTTTGAAGGATTATGGCAGAGCAAGCAAGGAGTCATCATATTTACCCTTTCCCTTAGTGAAACCACAAACCCATGAAAGAGAATTCCAGTGACTCAGAGACCCAGAATGACCGTATTCCAAAGAAGGGAGGCCCATCCCTTGAGAAAACTGACTAGCTTAGGAAAATCCCACCAGGTGCAAATTTCTACCATCCCAAACTATTGCAATGAAAGGAAGGGGGCTGTTGTTCAGCATTGGTCAGATGCTAGCTTTTTCAAGTCTCCCAAGGGAGAAAAGAAATCTTATATATTTTAGAACATAGGTCTCCTTATGATGCAGGACACACTCAATATAGAGCTGGGGCTGGGAACCATGACAATTTTGGACTCCCAAGTCCTTGCAGCCAAGATTGTGTGTGTCAGGAATGATGGGAATTACAATCCAACAACCTCCAAAGAGGTTCAGGTCCCCCACTTCTTCTATTGAGCATAAACCTTATCACAGACAAAAGTAACCAGCTAGTGTGTCCATGGGATTTTTTTCTAGGATATTATAAATTTGCAGAGTGGTATGGTAGCGCGCTGGAAGGACAGATCCTGAAGCTGAGGCTCCAATACTTTGGCCATCTCATGAGAAGTGAAGACTCGCTGGAAAAGATGCTAACATTAGGAAAGTGTGAAGGTAGGAGGAGAAGGGGATGACAGAGGACAAGATGGTTGGACAGTGTCATCAAAGCTATCAACATGAATTTGACCCAACTCTGGATGGCAGTGGAAGACAGGAAGGCCTGGCGTATTCTGCTCCATGGGGTCACAAAGAGTTGGACAGGACTAAACAACTAAATAACAACATGGTAGTGTAATGTATACACCTAGCACATGCTGCTATAGTGCAGCATTTCTATATACCTTAAAATAATACATAAAATTACGGTTTTGAGAGGTAGCACCCCTTTGCCATGGACCGTCACAGAGCTCACAGTGTTTTTATATAGATTCAGGGGCTGTATATTATTTATTTTAGTCTACCACATGGGGTGCATGTGGCATTTGTTATTGCAAGGTTTGCCAACACAGTTCTGTTCTTGTTCATGTTTGGAAGAGAAAGATTACACTTTTTCACATTGGTTCTGTTTACTCCATTCATAGGTAATTTGTGAAAATACAACAGAAATAATTCTAAGAATAATTCCAAAATTAGTTTGGAGAAGATATGGATAAAGGTGGGAAAAATACTTCAAGTATTCAAGGTTGACTCAGCCTTCCATTCTTCTGAAGTCAAAAAACTGATTACTCAGCTCGTGGTGGGGGGCAATGTGTAGTCTCCATAATTAAACTGTAAGCTGCCCAGAAGTGTTTTAAGTGCTGTGCGATGGTATATAAGCTGCACACTTTGCTTTGTTTTACCTCAAGTGGTAAATCCAAGAGTTAAACCCAACAAGTGAATTTGTTGAATCAACACTTATGTAAACCTATGTGTTTCCCTAGTTGGTACTTATAATTGAATTTAGCTACAAAAAATAACTTTTCCCATCTTTAAGTATGAGATTCCTGATGAAATACACAAAGACATACGTATGCACTGGGTTCCTAATTTTATTCAGTTCATTATTTTTCTGTAACCTTCAGAGTAGCTAAGGGTGCAACACAAGGAATAAGGAATCCAGGACCCATTCTTCCTTCTGTAACTCAAGCACTGAAGTAATCTCAAAATATTATTCAAAATAATATGCTCTGCATGATAATATCCTCTGACTGATAAAGAGCAAATCACAAGACTGAAAGGGAAAAAAGCAACAAAGCAAGCAGAGCAATGATTTAATCTAGTTTTGTACCTATTCTGTCTGTTCTCTCACTCTGAATATTCAGAAGTAAAGCCCAGATATGAATAACTTTTCTGTTATTTAATATAAATGTGACCTCCAGTAGTCTAAAATTTAAGAACATTCTAGTAATGAACAAGCACATCATGACATATAGCCATCCTGCAGAAAATGTGTCTCTTTCAAATAACCACATATTATTAATTACAAAAGCAAAGACAGATGACATCTTTATTAAACTGCTGAAATCTCAAGGGCAGCTTTTGAGTCCTAGTGGATTTTTATACAACCTGAGGATGTATAAGCAAATTAAATAAATGACCCAAAGAGGAAAATAGGAAAATCACATTTGCAGCTGTATGTTGGCCCTAACCCTTCATTTTTATCAGGTAAATGCTAAACCTAGTGATAAGGGAAAAGGTAAACGCCTTTTCCTGAGTGACTCTGAGTTATGCAGTATTTTCTTAGCTTATCATGTAGGACTAGGTAGTGACAAATAACTTACAACTTTTCTCATGAGCAACACTCTGTCACTAAGTACATTTATACACTGACCCCTGAAATTGATTAACACCCTCTAAGAATCAGCTTCCTGTGTTGGGCCTGATCTGTATTTATCTATTATTTAAAAGCTCTCACTCATGTTAGACTTCAGTATGAAGCTAATTGGCACCCCTTTTTCATCAGTGTTACTAGGGAATACTTTACAGCCAGCAAAGATGCAATATTTTGTCTAAAGTGCAGATGATTTATGTTCAATAATTTTCCTAAGTGTCTTTCACCCCACCATTGCAGCCTGAGATACTCTGGCTGGTAAGACTTTTGATGAGCATGCAGTATTACTTTTAGATATGGGCTCAACTCCAGTGCAGTATTCAGCTGTTTGAATAAGCAACTTTGCGATAGTGGTACTTCATGGGAATTTGGAAGAAGGGAGTAAAGAAAAGGGCTCCCCGGACTATTCTTAGAAGCAAACAGTCAGATCTGGCATCCTGATTACAAACCTTGGAATTTATAAACTGTGCCATTCTAAATTTACTTCATTTGTATAGAGTTCAGCTGGACACTCATGCATTTCAGCACGTTCTGGCTTAACAGCTCAGTTCCATAACACTCTCAGAAGTGGAAGGAAAATGGAACCACACAATGGCAATTGGTTATGTCATTTGTTGCCCATGACAGGTTGTATAGGAAATACGCAGAAAGGTTTGTCTCAAAAACATATACACATCAGAGGAGGAAACCAGTGGCTTCCAAATTCTCTTTTTCAAGTTATCTGCTAACTAACATATAGCAACTTCATAGAAGAGAATTGATTTGTTTTGCTGATATTCAAATAATTTGCATTCTTATTGGCCAATGAAATTGTCAATTTTATTCTCTTCTTCAACAAATTACCAACCTATTCATGCATGGTGTTAAAGGTGCAGTCCACTAAAAACCTGCCTGGTACTGTATTTGCTCATGGCCACATTCTACACTCATTTAAGAATTTACAACTGCAAATAAAGTTGGAACACAACTCTCCAAACATGAAACAAGATCCCAAAAGAGAAAGCATTCTAGGCAGTTAGATAAACAAATACTGTGGCAATGCTGAAAGAGTAGTACCAACATAAATAATTACATTTATAACACTGGCTATGATTTCTCTTTGCATAGCACACATTCCAATCTGCATCTCCACGAAGTGTATGACATATGTGGTACAAATTACATAGATCTGAATACAGAGAAACACCTTTCAAAAAACAAACAAACAAACAAACAACCCCATACAATTTCTTCAGCAGTTTCAAAATACAAAGGAAAGCAAGCCTTTAAACACTGAGCTTCCTTTGGAGAAATGGAAATTAGCTCTTGCTTTGAACATTGAGAGTCCTACGTTTATGTGCAGAAAAAGAAAGAAAGCTAGAGCTTTTACCTTGACCAGACAATGAAATAATCCCTATCCTTTTAAAAACCACCATTCTTTTAAAGATGATTAACTTTCATCCTTTACGATGAAGGTATATTATGCTTGGAGGGAGGAGTGAAAGGGCTTTAACAACTTGGCTTCCTCGCAACGCTGTCTAAACGAGAAGAAAAGTCCAATTGCACTATTAATGCCCTTCTAAAGCCTCCTGGGCATCCTTCCCATTAAAGCTGGAGAAGACTTACATGGTTGGCGGGAAATTCTGTGAAGATCAATGCCATCCTGGTCCATTTCTTCACCAAGTCTGGGAGGCTGGGCTGAAAACTTGGTGTAGAGAAAGGAACGCTGGCGGGAATCGTTTCTCTTTCTGTGTCTCTCCTGAAGAGTTTCCCCTCAGGAAAGCAACTAACTACTGCAGCAGCAGCTCCGCCGGCCGGGCAGGAAGCGGAGCTGTTACGGAGCCTTTACTCCTGTCATCGTGACGAGTCCCTCACACACGCTGCTCAGGAGGCGCGTGGAAGACATTGGCGGGAGGCAGCCTTAATAAGACACACGGAATTGGGGGGACGGAATGCTGAAGTGAGCGCCTCCACCACCACCCTCCACCCCCCCTTGGGAAGGAGAGGCTCTGCTCTGTGAAGTCTCAGGGGGCCCCACGCGGGCGGTAGAGCAGGCGCAACTCTTTTCCGCCGGCTGCCCCGCGATTTGAAACTGATGCTGATCCCGGGGCTGAAGGAACTCCCTGGCAAAGAGCGAGGAGGAGGCGGAGAGAGGAACTGACTTTAAAATAGCAACGCGGCTGAGCTCCGGGCTGGGCTCTCCCGCGGGCTGCAGCTGAGACCAAAGGCAGAGGCGAGGATGGCCGTGGCGGCGGCGGGGGAAGGAGGTGGAGGGAAAAGCCACTCCTCCCTGGGACTCGCCCTGCCGGCCAAGAAGGAGAGGAGCCCCGAAAGGGACGGGGAGAGCGCCACGCTTTTTGGGGGGGGGGAGCCGGAGCGGCTGCGCTTCCCCCTTCGCCTGGTCGCGCGAGCTCGGCTCTCCCCAGAGGAGGCCGGCCGATGCTAAGGCTGCGAACGCTTCCCTCATGAAGGCTGGGCCGGGCGAGCAAGCGGAGGGGGGACCCGGTTAGAGCCTTGCCGGGCATTTGGGAAAAGCCCGGCGTAGCCAGAATCGGGCCGCTTTCCTGGAGGCTAGAGCAGTGGGATGCAGGTCGACATGGGGTTCGCTGGGGTTCCTCACGTGCCAGGTCTTACCACTTTGGGGTAACCAGGGCTTTCCCGTCTGTTTGTGAAGTAAGCCAGCAGCGGTATGAGGGTTTGAAAGATCCCGATGCTAGTATGCACGCGCGTACACAGACGCCCCCCCCCCTCGCCCTGAAATTCCCGGGAGCACAAGGATTTGGTGCAGGTAAAGTGAGCAAGAGCCCAAGCCTTGCTCTCCTTGGAGGAAAGGTGAGATCTGTCACGAATACAGCCATATTTGCATGGAGATCAGGGCTGCTATTTAGGCGCGCTAGAGGAATTGCTTACCCATCCCACACCTACAGTTCCTACTTACAATTCCTACAAAAGACAGTCGGGGAAGACATCGAACTGGAAAGACTTGGAGACAGTGTGCTAATCCTATTATGAGGCATGAGCAGCTCTTGGCATCGTTGGAGATGTGCTCAGATGCCCTGGTAAATGGTGGAGAATTTACTGTATCATTTGGGGGAGTCCTGAAGTCTCCAGTTTTGGTCTGCATTTCAGAACTGCAGTCATTCCTGCACTTAACTTTGTTCTTATCTTTTGGCAAATACATTTTGTGAGGTTTTCCTTTCCCCCTCCCCCAACCCCATACTGCTGTGTGCCAGCTCTCAGCACCCTTGAGCAAATGGCATGCCTCATCAGGATTGATGCCTGCATGGGCATCTGATCAGGTGAGACTGATTTAGGGAAGAAAGGCAGACTGGCCCAGGGTATGGTTGAGCAACTGAGGTAGGGAGCTACGGTACTTTTAATTTTTTCTCCTATGCCCTCTGGCAGGGTATTTAGTACGTCAAGCCTGCTATGAAAATCTAAATCCTAGAGAGTGGACTTTGGCTGGTTTCTCTGTTCCTTTCGATCTTAACCTGTAAACCATCCAGAGCAGTGTTTGCACTAATGGGGTGGTTGTTTGTTTGTTCAGTCGTTTAGTCGCAATCCTAGAGAGTTGACTTTGGCTGGTTTCTCTGTTCCTTTGGACCTTAACCCATCCAGAGCAGTGCTTGCACTAATGGGGTGGTATATTATATGAATGGGGTGGTATATTAATCAATTAAATTAAGTTACATTTAGAATGACAGCTTCCACTTTTGTTTGTTGTACCTATCCTTTGGCCAGGAGTTGTTTAAGAGTTGCTGTGCTGATCGTAATTCAATAGGTTGCTGAAGATACTGGGTCCACCGAGGCTGGAAGTGAAAAACATTGAATACTGAGGTGGCAGCTTTCTTAGAAATACAAACTAATAGTACTTTTTAAAAGGTTGACAGGCCTTGGTCACTTTGGAGCAACTCACCTTGACTCAGCCTTCAGACTGTCTGTTTGATATATCAATGTTAGGCCTGGATATAAATAGAGCATATCAATGGATAGATTTGGTGCTCTAGCAACTAGGCTCTTGAGAGTCCCCTGGACTGCAAGGAGAAGAAACCTATCAATTCTAAAGGAAATCAACCCTGAGTGCTCACTGGAAGGACAGAGTCTGAAGCTGAGGGTCCAGTACTTTGGCCATCTCATGAGAAGAGAAGACTTAATTAAATAGCTATATAATTAAATAGCTGTATAAACGACTAAACAACAACAAAAGCAACTATTAGTACATGGACCATTAGTGGTTTTTGCAACAATTGCTGTGAATTTGCTCTTCTTCCATCCTCATAGCTCCTGCAGCCACAAAGTGTTGTCTGTTCTTTACCCTTCCTGTCATAGATTCCCTGTGACTATTTGGAATGTCAGTAGTAACTCTGGACATTTGCACTTACTATCAGCAGAATTGCTCAAGTTTTATGCACTTAAAAACACTCCTCACTACTAACATAGACGTGGAAGTTCAAAGCAAAGAATGGGGATAGGGGTGAGAGTGTTGTGCAGTGATATTGTACAGAACCACAGCTGTATAGCTTTGCTTTTAAAATTATCCCTGTTTGTATTATGAACATGCCAGAGAGTGAGGGTAAACTAAGGATCCTGGCATGTGTGGGGTGGTTGGGCTCCAGTGCACTTTGGATTAATATTTGACTCATTCAGAATCTCCATATGAATGTATCCTGAGTTTCCCTTATCACACACAGAGTAGTTGAGATATGTTTCTTTTTTTTTCTTGGCACCTTAGACTCACTGAAGATGAAAGCACTTCTCAGCAAGTGTCGAGTGCCTTCCTGTCACCATTGAGTTTCTTTGCATGTTAGGCTAGCTTGCATGTCATTTTGATGACACCATTTGGTCTAGAAATATTGGCTTCATAGAAAATGTATACACAAGTATATATATTCCTTGCAGACAGTGCAACAATAAACATAGCTGCAGTTGGCGCCTTAGCTTTGCTTCAGTGAGACTGCTCTAGTCCTGGAGATGTCTGGAGATGAGCTAAAGACTAGAACCACTCTCAGATATTTTGTTGCTTGAGATGGCCCTTAGGGGAAGTCCCAACAAATGACACTTTGCATGACTCCTCTAAATCAAAGTCCATAGTATCCAAAACCAAATTATCCTGTTAGTTGTCATAAAAACACAAATAACAAAGTAAATAAATAATAGTTTGTTGTCAGTTCATGTCACAAAAAACAAAACAAAACAAAAAAAAACAAAACTCGTGCTTGAGGCAACTGCCTTACCTGGCCTAATGGCAGGGCTAGCCCTGCTAAAGATAGTGGGAAACCATCTTTCCTCACTCTGAAACTTTTTCACCACCCAACCAGTTTGAGAGTCATATATAAAAATGCATCAAAAAAACTGGTGCTTGAGGCAACTGCCTTAGCTGACCTAATGGCAGGGCTGGCCCTGCTAAAGATAGTGGGAAACCATATTTCCTCACTCTGAAATTTTTTCACCACCCAGCCAGTTTGAGAGTCATATATAAAAATGCATCCTCATTCTTTTTAACCAGCACAAGTATCATTGCAAACCCGAAACTGCTAATGGGAGTCTAATGTGTTTTAAATGGATCTGATTTAAGAGTTGTTGAAGAAGCTTGTCAGTTTGAGGGACATTTTGTTAGTAGACAGGACAGCCTAAACTACATGTGGATCAATACTAAACATGTAATGAATACTCATAAATGAATACTGTTATCCTCTATTGCTGGGAGATTTCTTGCTCTCTCACACAAATGAAAAGAACCATGCTTTGTGTGCACATGTTTACAACAGCATCAGGATTAATGTTACATGGATTGGCAATCTTCATATTTTCCATTCACCATCATTTGTTTTGTTTTGAAAAACCTTTAAATTTTTTTTTCACCTGTGAGAATGAAGTGAATGAATATTTCCATCCCTGTTCTATGCATACATTTTTAAAAGTATGCTTCGCTTTGCAGGTGACTGTTTACTTTTGGTTGAGAACACAAATTAAGCAAAAATCTGAGATCATGACCACGGGAATAGGTGACCTATGAACAGAACAAGGCTCCACCAACACAGAGTTTTAGATAAGGTAACCCCTGCTGGTTCCACAAAACAGAGACTGAGGTTACCCCTTTATATGCTCCCAGTAACTCAGTGAGTTGTGTATTTGGCTGAATAGCCAGAGGTTGGGAGTTCAGTTCCCCACTGTGCCTCCTGGGAGGAAAATGAGCTTGTGTAACTTTTGTCAAGCTGCAGAGTCCCAGGGTAACCCCAGAAGAAGGGAAAAGTAAATCATGTCTGAGTAGCCAAGGTGTAGAAAATCCTAAAAAGGGACACTGTAAGTTGGAATTGACTTGACAGCACATACCGTAGTATTATATGTGCTAAAGCTCCATCCCACCTACTTTTTGCATTGAGAAAACAAGCTTTGTGGCAATTTTGGAGAACTCAGTATTGTATAGAAGGCATGTGAAGTAAAGGCTTGGGAAAAACTTGGAAATTATTTCCACATTATTTCCACATTATGTTCCTTCCCACCCCTCATCTTCCCCCCTCACATTGTTTGGGATAGAAAATAGAAATCACTAATTGTGCCTCAGATTAAAGGGGTTGCAAGATGCACTATCACTCTGGGGGAAAAAACTTGAATAGGGAAATGTTACAGATTCCCAAGCTTTTACTATCTTTGAATTTTGTAAAGTTTTATATGGTTGTAGTAACCAGTCCAAGAATCAAATATTTTGGGTTGAAATGCCTTCTGCCCACATCTGAAGATCACACTGTCTGTGGACACTAGAGACCGGATGTACATTAGATGCATACCTTGTTAAAATGGATGGGCAATGCAATTCTGGAGCCAAAATGCAGTCTCAATCTCTTTGCCTCTGTTGAGCTTGATTGGGATGGAAAATAGAAATTTGAGAAAACTTGTAAGATTACAAACTTGCAGCCAGTGGATTCCTCATCATCCGGCAGCTCATTCAAGCTCATCTTCAATTAGTC